GAACATTTGGTCTCACAGAGCTCTTCCCCAGCTCCAGTGACTTCACATGTGTTTATGTGTACGGATAGGATAGCTAGCCAAAGCGGAGTGGAAAAACCACCTCTTCCTACTTCGAATTCAACCAAATGACAGGCACACCACACAAAATGGGTTGCATTACTCTGCTGATGACATTAAAACCACAGCACCCAGCTCAGCCAGTATGAGAAGACATGGAAATGAACTTTTGGCAGGCAGGAGAACAATGTAGAAGAGAGATCCCTGGCTAAGCCTCCATCTGAGGTTGGTAGAGTAACGTCATTCCTGGTCTTGACCAAGATTTAAGCCAGATGCAGTGATGAACCAGGCAGTGTCTGTCTTTTGTCTCCGTACCCCGTGAGACTAGACAGCTCTTTTCAGTTGGATTCATTTGTTTGCTTGGAATTATAATTCAATTCTCTTTAGAGGCCACGCACACAATGTTATCCGATGCAAATGGAGGTTAATTATATGTTTTACAAGTCATACAATTTGGAGAGGCTTCTACTTGACCCATTTAGCTCTTTATTATTATTATTATAGAACATAGAGCAGGGCTGCAACAGATTTCTGGCTAAGGAACATTTTGAATCATTAGCAGTTCAGCAAATCGTTCTGATGTTGTCAGTTGGACGTGTCTTGTGTTGATCCTTAAGTGTTGTCACACCAGTACCAGATGATTATTGTGTTTACACTAGAGCAATTAAGTGAAGTCAAGCTCAGTTTCTTCATAAACACATCTGTTTAAGATGTCACACTCGAGAATACACTGCAGGATACATAAAAAAAGAACTGATCTGTCAGACTTTATCTTCACCACAGCTGCATATCCTGTCCTTGGGAGTACCTGTTTTTTTTTTTTTTTTTTTTTTTGTGTTTGTGAGGCTAAGAGAGAAAGTGTGTGTCTATGCTGAGAGTGTAATTACTGGGAGAGAGAGGCACATGGACAGAGTAATCATGGATAAGGGTTGCTGTGTTTGTGGTTGAGTCAGTGTGATGAACTCGGTCCAGGCTGTAGTTCCTGTTGTCTGCGTGACCACTCTTCCTTGACATTGGTTTGTTTATTCTAAAAGAGGTAAACTATGTGACCACGCTACCACAGCCACAACTCTGTTTATACCAGAGATGATTTCTTGCAAGTGCAAACTTCCTTTCGCACCGCTTTTCATTTCCAATAAAATGCTAATGTGGCAATCTTGAGATGAAATATTACGCTGTTAATTTTCTTAGTCACTACATTTATGTGCTCCTATCGCCCC